CTGGTCTGTGGCTGGGCTGCTGTAGATGAAGGTGGGGAGGGGGAGCGTGATCAGAACTGATGCCCTTCAGTTAAGATTCTGGGTTTGTTGGGAAAAGATAAGTAGGGATGAGGCATCTCTTTGCTGCTCGGGTTAAAGTTGGGGAACAACAAGTTTCTGTTATGGCCAAGGTCATAGTCAGTAGACCTTGGTTGGCCTGGAATAGAGATCTCCTGTTATCTCTGTCCTACACTGAGATTGGACACATGGCATTTGTGGTTGAAAGGATCCCTTGCTGCCTTTCCCCAAACATCCTGGTCACTGGCTAGGTTTTATTTGAGATGCAAGGAACACAGGGATGCCTTTCATGAAGTATATGTCATGCAGAGGCGAAGTCTCTAGATTCTTATTATTTTGTTATATGTAGAGGTATGGCACAGAAGAAAGTTTTTTTCTTATGAGAAATGGAAGGGAAAAGTGATTAAGGGTAATCATTTCCCCTTATATCCCATTAGTTTCCTACTATACTAGTTTAGTCCCCATTGAACCCTGGCACCACTTAAATTGTTTAAATCAGCAAAAGATCAAACCCACTGTCGAAACTTCTGTCCCCTTTAGTAGAAGATCCCAGCTTAACTTCGAAACTACCTATCAGTTCAGACTCTCACAGCCAGACTGTGCTGCACTTTGTGGAGGAGTAGCAAAGGGTCAAAACAGAAAGGGCTTGGGTGTGAGGGAGTGGAGTGTATTGGCAATGACCGAATGGGAAGAAATGAAGGATGTTAGAGGCGAAGATCTATTGAGGTTGCTGAATAATTATGTCAGGGACAAGCCACTGTTGAGAGTCAAAACTGGCAAGAAAGGAAAAGTAGTCAAGCTTTGAGAGAGAGAGAGAGAGAGAGAGAGAGAGAGAGAGAGAGAGAGAGATTCCAGTTTGTGAAATACATTTGTGTTGTCAGGTTCATCTACACTTGAGGAACACAGGGCTTTGAAACACCTTACTATGTGCACTCTGTAGCGGTGGGCACACTACGTGTGCAATACATTGTCTGGATTTCCTCTTACCAGCAGAATCCATTGGCTTGGGTTTTGTAGACA